TCCTGATGTTTTCCTGATTTTTCCCCGGATTTTTCCCTGATTTTTTGCCAATTTTTTCCCTTTTTTTTCCCCTTTTTTTCCCTTTTTTTTCCCCAATTTTTTCCCAATTTTCTCCCAATTTTTTCCCCGGAAAATTCCTGATTTTTCCCCATATTTTTCCCACTTTTTCCCAATTTTTTCTCCATTTTTTCCCATTTTTTCCCATTTTTTTCCTGTATTTTTCCCCAATTTTTCCCAATTTTTTCTCCATTTTTTCCCACTTTTTCCCCATTTTTCCCCATTTTTTCCCATTTTTTCCCTAATCTTTTCCCAATTTTCTCCCGATTTTTCCCCCATTTTTTCTCAATTTTTCCCCAGATTTTTCCCCAATTTTTCCCAGATTTTCCCCCATTTTCCCCTGGATTTTTCCCAATTCTTTCCCTCTTTTTCCCAATTTTTTCCCCATTTTTTCCCATTTTTTCCCTAATCTTTTCCCAATTTTCTTCTGATTTTTTCCCAATTTTTTCCCCATTTTCCCCAATTTTCTCCCGATTTTTTCTCAATTTTTCCCCGGATTTTTCCCCATTTTCCCCCCGATTTTTCCCACTTTTTCCCCATTTTTTCCCCAATTTTTCCCCAGATTTTTTCCCATTTTCCCCCTGATTTTTCCCACTTTTTCCCCACTTTTTCCCCATTTTTTCCCACTTTTCCCCCCTCATGGAATCCCAATGCGATTACTCCATGTATTTCCCCGCCGTCCCCTTCCCTCCCCGGGAATTCCTGGCCGGAGAATCCTCGGGATATCGATCCCTCCCCCGCCGAAATCACCTTTACCTGGGCGAAACCGTTCGATTCCTGCTGGTCCTGAGGAAAAACCCCGGGAATCCCGACAAAAACCCCGGGAATCCCGACAAAATTCCCGGGAATCCCGACAAAAACCCTGGGAATCCCGACAAAATCCCCGGGAATTCCTCCAATATCCCGGGAAAAACCCCCTGGATCCAGTTGGCTTCGTCTTTATCCGCCTTGGCCACCGTCACCTGCGGCGACGACGCCGGGAAAAACCGGGATGAGGAGGAGAACTCAGCAAATCCCGGGAATTTCGGCCACCACGATCCCAAGGAGCCGCCGATTTTCCGGGAATGCCGAGCTCTGCTCACCCATTCCAGGGGCCCTCCGGGATCCGCCGGAGCCGGGGTGAGGATGGGGGGAAATTTGGGAATTCTGAGGGGGGTGGGGGGTGGTGAGCAAGGGGGAAAAAAATTGGGAATCTCAGGGATGGGGGAATTCCTGTTTTTCCGGGGTTTTTCCCGGTTTTTTCCCATTTATCCCCAAATTTTTTCCCATTTTTTCCCAATTTTTCCCCCATTTTTCCCCCTTTTTTCCCAATTTTTCCAATTTTTTCCCATTTTTTCCCAATTTTTTCCCCATTTTTCCCCCTTTTTTCCCAATTTTTTCCCATTTTTTCCCAATTTTTTCCCCATTTTTCCCCCATTTTTCCCATTTTTTCCCCATTTTTTCCCATTTTTCCCCATTTTTCCCATTTTCCCCCCATTTTTCCCATTTTCCCTCCATTCTTCCCCCATTTTTCCCATTTTTCCCCATTTTCCCCCCATTTTCCCCATTTTCCCCCCATTTTTCCCCATTTTCCCCCCATTTTTTCCCATTTTCCCTCCATTCTTCCCCCATTTTTCCCCATTTTTTCCCATTTTTTTCCCATTTTTCCCATTTCCCCCCATTTTCCCCATTTTCCCCCC